CACTGCCTAAGAGTATCCTAGAATTGGGTTGTAACTGTTGGGCACATGCACATGTTGTCCAGCCAAAGGCCCAATGGCCTAATCCTAATTCTCTTTTGCTTTTTATTCGTATTCGTAATTGGATTCGATTTTTATTCCTATTTAGATTTGGTTTTGGCTTTAAGCGAAAGCACCACTCATTATCTATAAATAGGACAACCTTGAAAAATTGTTCTATGCTCGTTGATACAAGTCTTTGAAAAACTTAAGCACATAAGAGTGGTTTTTGAGAGAGCTTTCAAGACAAAAGAGAGAAGAAAAATATTTGTTTTGCTGCAGATTTTTATTCCAACTAGCCAACTTCAAATCATGTTTCAGATTTGTTAACCGTTGGATCGGGCTGAATTTTTGACTGAGTATCGTAACATCTTGGTATTTGATTTGAACGGTGAAGATCAAATTTAGAGGCCCGAGGCATCTGATTTCGAGCCCCGAACAACAGCTCTAATTTTGTGTCTTCTCCTCTTTCTTCAATTGATTTGTCGTTGCTATTGTTGCTCTGTGTTTGGCACTTGTTGTGTAGCCAATTTGGAGAGCTTTTGTAACCTTCTTATTTTATAGTGGAGATTTTTGGATCTTTGTGATCCCGTGGTTTTTACCTTCGATTTGAAAGGTTTTTCACGTTAAAATTTGGTGTTCTTTATCTTCTTAATTTTTGGGTTTACCTCTTCCTCGACATAATCGTGGTATCAGAACCTTGGTTATTTATCTAGGTTTTTATGGAATGGAGGCGAATATGAGCAAGATGATATGCTTAAATGGGAGCAATTATAATATTTGGAGAAGCAAGATGAAAGACTTCTTTTTCGTGAAGAAGATGCATCTACCGATTTTCGCAGTTCATAAACCCGAGAGTATATCTGATGAAGATTGGGATTTCGAGCACCAGCGTGGATATATACGACATGGGTTGAAGACAATGTTCGCAACCATATTGTGAATGAGACAGATCCGAGATCATTGTGGGAAAAGCTTGAGACTTTTTATGCTTCAAAAACTGGGAACAACAAGTTATTCCTACTAAAATAATTAATGACCTTTAAATACAAGAAAGGCAACCCTATCCTTGATCACATAAATGATTTTCAGGGCATCCTTGATAAGCTGTCTTGAATGGGAGTTAATTGTGATGATGAGATACAAAGACTTTGGCTTCTTAATACTCTGTCAGACTCTTGGGAAACTCTTCGTGTTTCTTTGACAAATTCAGCTCCTGGAAGTAAGGTGACCATGGAATATGTCAAGAGTGGTATGTTAAACGAGGAAGTAAGGAGAAAATCTCAGGGTGCATCCTCACAAGTAGATATCTTGGTTACAGAAGACCGGGGGAGAGATAGAACAAGAGGTTCGAGGAATAGAGGTAAAAGTAGAAGTAAGTCAAGGTCCAAATACCATAATATTATGTGCAACCACTGTTGCAAGAAAGGGCATATCAAAAGGTTCTGCCACAAGTTGAAGCAAGACATTATAGAAGGAAAGAAAGTTGAAAATAACGAGAACAATGTTGCTGCTATTGTTCGAGATGACCTTCTTTTTAATTATGATGAAAACGTCATCAATTTGGTATCCCATGAGACGAGCTGGATAGTAGATTTTGAAACTACTTCACATGTCACACCAAGGAAAGACTTTTTCTCATCTTATACTCCTATTGATTCTGGAGTGTTAAAGATGGGCAATGCCAGTGAAGTTAAGGTGTTTGGTGTTGGCACAGTTTGTTTGAAAACTAATAATGGTTCAACGTTAGTTCTTCAAGATGTCAAGCATGCTCCAGACTTTCCTTTCAATTTGATCTCCGCAGGAAGATTAGACGATGAAGGTTACCATAATGCCCTCTTTAATGGCCAATAGAAGCTCACCAAGGGTTCATTAGTAGTGGCTCGAGGAGCCAAGTCTTCTCAATTGTATGTGACACATGGCTCTATTCTTAATGACTCCATAAATGTGGTGGAAAATGATACTTTATCAGAATTGTGGCACGGAAGATTGAGTCTTATGAGCGAGAGGTGGATTACGTGTTTGGCAAAGAAAAGTTTGCTTTCTGGAGTGAAACAGGCAAAGCTGAAAAATTGTATCCATTGTTTAGCTGGCAAACAGAAAAGGGTTTCCTTTCATAGCCATCCTCCTTCAAGAAAGCCTGAGTTATTAGAGTTAATACACTCTGATTTGTGTGGTCCTTTTAAAATTAAACTCAAAAAGCGGTGCACTTTACTTTGTGACCTTCAATGATGATCATTCTCGCAAGCTCTGGGTATATCCTTTAAAATCCAAAGATCAAACACTCGGCGTGCTTAAGAAATTTCAGGCCTTAGCTGAGAGACAAACGGGGAAGAAATTAAAATGCATTCGCACTGATAATGATGGTGAATATTGTGGTCCCTTTGATAACTATTGCAAGGAACAAGGAATTCAACATCAGAAAAACTCCGCCCAAGACGCCTCAATTGAATGGTTTGGCTTTAAGAGAAAGCACCACTCATTATCTATAAATAGGACAACTTTGGAGAATTGTTCTATGCTCATTGGTACAAGTCTTTGAAAGACTTAAGCACATAAGAGTGGTTTTTGAGAGAGCTTTCATCAGAGAAGAGAGAAGAAAAGTATTTGTTTTGCTGCAGATTTTTATTCCGACCAGCCAACTTCAAATCACGTTTTCCAATTTGTTAACCGTTGGATCGGTCTGAATTTTTGACTGAGTGTTCGTAACATCTTGGTCTTTGATTTGAACGGTGAAGATCGAATTTAGTGGCACGTAGAATCTGATTTCAAACCCCGAACAGCAGCTATAGTTTTATAGTTTCTCCTCTTTCTTCAATTGATTTGTCGTTGCTATTCTTGCTCCGTGTTTGGCACTTGTTGTGTAGCCAATTTGGAGAACTTTTGTGACCCTCTTATTGTTATAGTGGAGCCTTTTGGATCTTTGTGATCCCGTAGTTTTTACCTTCGATTTGAAGGATTTTCCACGTTAAAATTTGGTATTCTTTATCTTCTTTATTTTCGGGTTTGCCCCTCCTTCTAGAACCACTTGGTAGGACCGAAAAAATCAAGTGTCATACGGAAGCTAGTAAGCAAACCTTGAACAACGATAAATCATACAACAAAAGAGAAATATATCAAAAGAAACACAAACATTTAATGTGGTTCGGTCAACCGACCTACGCCCACGATGGAGATGAGCAATCGACTATATAAAAAGAGACTACAAAATATCGAGAGAACAACCTCACGAAGAGGCAAACACAAGTGACGCACTAACACTTGTCCTGTAAAGTTCTTCGTCCTAAATACGACTCTCAAACCCCATATGGCTACATTGTGGATGCTGCTGAATGAGAAGGAACGATTCTCAATTTATGGAAGTCTAAACTTTTTCCTACAAGAAAAAGGACTAGCCAAATATAAGAGATTCATAATTTTCTTCTACAAGAAGAAAAATCCAATTATGGTAAATATATTTCCTTTTCCTTCAACAGATAGGAAAATCAAATATAGTAAGAAAATCAGGACAACACCTAACAATTCTCCCCCTTGGCCTGAATTTTCTGATAAAATAAACTTGATTCATCTTCGTCACAAAACCTTCAACAGCTCGCATCTCAAAATCTCCACCATAAAGTTTGTCTCAACGTGAGTAGCACTCTGGTCAAATTTCTCAAACAAAAATCATGATTACCGTCAAATAGGTTGCGGCCAGATCTAAAGTCGTCAAGATGAACCTATCTTGAACCTCGCTCTGATACCACTTGTTAGGACCAAAAAAATCAAGTGTCATGCGGAAGCTAGTAAGCAAACCTTGAACAACGATAAATCATACAACAAAAGAGAAATATACCAAAAGAAACACAAACATTTAACGTGGTCTGGTCAACTACCTACGTCCACGGTGGAGATAAGCAATCCACTATATAAAAAGAGAGTACAAAATATCGAGAGAACAACCTCACGAAGAGGCAAACACAAGTGACACACTAACACTCTTCCCGTAAAGTTCTCCCCCTAAACATGACTCTCAAACCTCATATGCTACATTGTGGATGCTGCTAAATGAGAAGGAAGGATCCTCAATTTACAGAGGTCCAAACCTTTTCCTACAAGAAAAAGGACTAGCCAAATATGGAAGATTTCTAATTTCCTTCTACGAGAAGGAAAACCCAATTATGGTAAATATGTTGCCCTTTCCTTCAACAGATAAGAAAACCAAATATGGTAGGAAAATCAGGACAACAGCTGACAGTAACCTCCTCCGGAAGCAATATGGCGCTTAAGCACTGGCATCACTTATCAAAATGGATTGCCAATTAACCGCGCATCAAGGTTTTATGTAAGTGGTAGTGATACAGATATTTCCAAGTGACAGATATAGGCATTCATATTTCATGCAATGGGTTTTGCTGCCAATGTAATCGCCTGTTCATTCTCAGGAACTTGGGCTAAGTTTGTTGGGTAATAGTCTGTCTAGGTCACTTTGAGGTTGCACATTAGTATTGCTCATTATCTGAAGTATCTGATTGCTACATCAATGTATTTAGACTTTGTCCTTGCCTAATTGCCTTAGACCTTCTGAACCTGGACTTCCTTGTGCCTTAGACATTGGATAAATAATGTTGAGTGCTTTAAGAACAAGGTTCAATGCAAGAATTGAGCAGTGATTATGATACCCTATAAAGATTATATGTGATAGGGCAATTAAAGACATCCTAACAGACTGATATACTTCAGTCTGTTCCAACATGACTTGGTGGCAGGGGCAGAGCTAGAGTGCCGGAGGTAGTTCGGCCGAACCCAATAGCTTTAATTCGAACTTTGTATTTATTTTAAAAAATTTATTAAACATATATAAATTATTAATGTAGAACTCAATAACTTAACACGACTAGAATTCCGACTACATAAGTTTGAAATCCTAGTCGTGGCTCTGCTTGGTGGCTCTTGTCATTAATTTTCATTGTTCAATTCTTTGATAACACAAAAAAATCCACTCTTTAAAAGAACAAATGAATCCAATTACACTCTTACTATTTCTGTAAGAACTAGTCATTCCACATGGGTCACAAGTAAAGAAGGTATACATATAAAAAGTGGTTCCAAATATCAGGAACTCCAGGGAGGCACCAATGAGTACAATCTGCATAACTACTTGGACTTGCCAATTGTTCTTCGGTCAGAGGATCCCAGTGCTTTCTATATATGGATGGATGTGCTTCTTTTCTATACTCAGAAAGTTGAGTAATGTTGAGCAAATCTGCTTTAACACCACTTTTCTCATTCAGCTTCTTTATGGCTGCTTCTACCAATCTCATCATTCCCGGATCTGATTCTGATCCCCAATATTCTGCATTAGAAATTGGCTGTGTTTCATTGTAACAATTCTCACCTTCTGCCTTCCCCCATTCCTCTCCCCTGCCATTATATATTTCAGACATATTTTCATATCATTACTACTACTATTCAGTTTCTGTAACTTGACTATGTTTCTAAATCGAACGTGGAAATACTTTTCCGAAAATTTATACCTGCTGTGCGTGGGCGACATGCTAACAAAGAAAACTCTAGTTTTGGTGCGGTTGACATGAGAATCCAACCAATCTGCCCATGTCTTAAGCCCCAACTCGTACGTACGCAGCATCCCCAATTGTTCATACTTTGCATCTGTACTTCCAAAGGATCCCCACCTGAAATTACACAAATCGCAGTCATATTTAAAGGTCATCTTATGCCTAGAATCTTGAGTACACTTTCTTATGAGTGGTTAAAGGTAGCAAAGATATGTACTCACAGAATAGTCAAATCCAGTCGCCACCATAAATAGGAATTATAGACAAGAACATCAGCATCTTCCCAAAATCTAGCATGTTTCTCTATTGAATTGACTCTCAAAACGCGATTTTTAACACGATGATGCCACGCATCGTCGCAATTGGATTCAACCAACAATGGTGCCCAGTAGAAATCAATGGTAGCATTATATTCCTTCACCAATGTTTGAAACAAGATCTAAGCCAACTGCAGTCAAACTTCAAATTTAGGGAAAAAGCAAGGTGAAACTCACAATAGCTTTTAAGGTGACCAAAGAACCATTATAGTGAACATGTTTGAGATGAGTATGGATTGATGACTCTAGCATGCACACCATTGAAACCCACTGATTCCTATTGACTGAATCTCCCACATACACAAGCCTTTTGTTCCTTAACTTCTCCAACATTGCTGTGGCATTAAATCTTTGCAAAATCAAGAATTACATTCCAAAACCGTAAGAACCCAAAGGAGGAAAGTTAGAAGAAAAGCAGAAAAAGATACTACCTTGGAAGGTCACAATCATGGGGTTGCCATTTCCAGTAGAGATAGTTTAGGTCTTCTCTCCCATAACTTTCACAAGCCATTCCATCATCCAAGAACGAAATGAATGAACAATTGGACCCATTATAGAAAGGGCGAGATTGGTTATCAAATACCCATTTGCCTGAAAAGAAATTGCAGCTGGATAATGAGCTTAACTCTGGCTTTTTTCGAATTTCCTGCTTAATCTCTCTGGACATGAACAAAGTTGTGATAACTAGAACCGCAGTGATAGTTGTTACCAACAGCTGAAAGCTCAGCTGAATGCCCATTAACTTGTTATTCAAACTACTGCATAATATTGGTCTTCCATTCATTTTTCTGTTTCAAATATTGCTGGAGTCGAAATTGGTGAACTTTTAAGAAAGGAATTATTAGCCCGATTGGGTCAGACTCCAACAACTCATTCTATGGTAGATCAAGTTGCGCCCTGCTGGCTCTGTGATGATTTTTGTCACTACACTAAATAAATGTGCTTACTCCTCCATTAAGGTTTTTGCACACACCATAAAATAACGTAGTAATAGCTTAATAATAAAAGTAACTCTTTATATTTCCTTAATGTTTCATATAATTAATATTTAACTAATTGAAATAGTAAAGATTAATCAGAAAAAAAAAACTTCCTTTCATCAAATATTTTAAAATACCTTACATTTTTAAATAATTAGTAGTAATATTTAGAACATGAGTTATACGTACTTATATTAATACTGCTAGTTAATTAAAGTGAATTTGAAGCATGTGCAAGTTTGAAGCCAGACAAAATCTTTCGAATTTTTTAAGTGAAATTACCTGTCAATCTGGATATATGTGTCTCTTATTAATGACGACTGTCGCCAACAATAAATAACACGTCAGAATGGCAACCATACTGGTATGATCGATTTGGGAATTATTGAACTTAAAAAATATTTATGCTTACTCCTATTTAATGAAAAGTTGACTGCCTTTTGGAAAAATATGGGACCACAACTTAAAGTTTTGAACGAATAGACACTTTAACCCTCTAGGTTGGCTAAAGTTCTAAATGCGCCACATTAAACTTGTGAAGAAATTTCAAATAAGCATTGCTTCACTCAAGCCCTTCTGTCTGTCAGCAAATAAATGTTTTATTATTTAGCTTTGTCCTAATCTTTAGGAGAGTAGTTTATCATGAGTTGTCACCTAGTATTTAGGAGTAAGTAGGGTGAATAGTTCTAGATTTCTTTCGTAAGTTTGTGGGGTCTTTTGCCTATAAAAATCTGCAGTAGTAGAGATCTAAGAGGAGCAGCAGAAAAATAAATTTCTTTTATCTCAACTTGTTGACTTTTATACTCTGCTTTTTTTTTTTTTTTGGTAATGAAGACATTTATTCTGCCCTGTTTAAAAGTTATTACAAGATGAAACTATTCTAGGACACAAGGTTCCTAGCTTGTCCAGTTCAAAAGTAGAAACAACAAAAGGGGGCGGGGTGAAGTACAACATAGGATTTCCAAAAACGTTCGAGTTGCTTCCATGCTTGGCCAAATGATTGTCGACGCCCCCTTTTTTTAAAGCGAAATCGGGTTTACGACATTTGGGAAGACAACTCTATTCCCGTTTGGGAATTGGGTTTTTGGATTGAAGAGTCGCCACCTAATGATTAAGTGCATTAGGACACTAAGGGTTTTTGAATTTGAAAACCAGAGTTCGGGTAAGGGCTAGAAATTATCTCGAGGGGAAGGTGTTAGGCACCCCTCAAGATCCACTAGTGTGGTTCCCGGCCATGCTATGTTGTGACTTTACAAATAATCAATCAAGGCTCAAATAAGGACTTGCAATTAAATTGAAACTTGTGTAAGTAAGTAGAAAGAGAGCAGAGATTTGAAAGGTCTAAACAATTCTAAAGAGAGCAAACAAAGACAAACAAAGGAAAAGGGATCCTTGGTTTATGATTAATATGGATCACTTCAATGCAATACCCAGCAATCACTTCTCAAAGAGGGGTCGCACGTGATATTAGCGCATCGGTCATCATCTCCATATTCTACCCTTCCCACCCCGTATAGGTTATTTAAACGTGTGGATTGGTCACGAATGCTTATTGCGTGCTATTACCCGTCCCGTCCTATAAGTCCTAGAGGGTATTTAGGACCACTATTCCTACAAGGTGAGGACTAGGCTGAACCCTTAGGTTTAAAGGATAAAATGCTAGGCGACATACATAACAAGTAGGACTGCACATAAAGGAACCATACAAAGGCAAATAAGAGGCTCACAGATCCCTACAGATAAGCATGTAATTAGCACATCTCAAACACATTTAAGGTCTTAAAAGAACGTGAGTTTAAAGATAAGTTTCAGCAGAAGGTTTAACCACAACTGAGTGATCCTAAGAGCGTTTGACATGCAAAAACACAACTAAGAAAACAGTTGAGTAAGTAAAGGTGAGGGAACTGTTAAAACATCATTTGGAAAAAAGTAGAGATTTGAAAATACAATAGTTTAAGTAAACAAGTATCAAAATAACGTGATCATGGGCGGAAAGGTACCAGTAATTTAAAAAGCTTAATGGAGCAAGAATCAGGAAATTAGTGAGAGCATATAAATACGAAACAGGTTTCCAGATAAAGAGATTTTCAGTAAAAGAGTGGACTTCAGAGAGGCGGATAAAAGAGTTGGGAAAGTTAAAAGGTTGAGTAGCTTGAAACTAATAAACAAAATCAATCATC